CCCCCCCCCCCCGCCTCAGTTTCTCAATCTGAAGAATGGGAGGAGTCTCTCTCCCTCCCAGGATGGATGGGAGGATTCTGTGGTCTCAATGTATTATTCCTCACCAGAGGCGAGCTCATTATTGGTGTTCATGGGTTACTGTTGCACCTGTGCCGTGTGTGACCTTGGGCAAGTCAGTTCTCTCGGACCCTCAGTCTCCCCTTCTGTGAATCAGGTGTAACACCTTGTCTGCCTCCAAGGGTGGTTGTGGGACTCAGCAGGACTCTGCAGACCCAGGGGCTGGCCCTTCTCAGAGCCCTGGGGGCAGGTCCTGCTGTTGTTGTTGGCCCTGCTGAGAACAGCCCTTCCTTCCTGGAGGAGCCCAGCCCGGCCAGTCTCACAAACCCATGTGGCCATGTTTACTAGAAAGCGCCGAGGCTTGGTGAGGATGCACATGCCAGTGAGCGTTTGCTGCTCGGAGTTCCAAGTCTGGTGGGCAGCCCCGCCCTAGTGGGGGTGCCAGGACCCCAGCCCCCTTGGATGGTCCGGGTCCATCCAGGAGGTGGGGAGCTCTGCCCACTGTTGGTATGGCAACCACACTATCTCCCACATCTGGGCAGAACCTGATCTGCCAGTTTCCTGCTACCGCTGGGGCCCTGGGCCCGTGGAGCAGAGCCTAGGCGTGGCTCCAGCCCACAGGGTCACTCTTACTGGAGTGGGAGCCAGCGCCCAGGCCCCAGCCTCCGGGGTGGAGGAGGGAGCTTTATAAATAGAGGCTTTCTCTGCTGTGCACGCCCACCCCCCTGCTGCTGCCATCTTGCAGGGAGCAGCCTCGGACTCAAGCACCCAACCCCTTCCCCTTGGCAGGAATGGGGCAGGGTGGCAGGCCCGTGGAGAGAGGGGCCCGACCTGTGGCCTAGCAGCGCAGGCCGTGAGGGGACCTGCCTAAGGCCAGGCTGCCTTGGGTTGGGATCAGCCAGGAGGGATGGGAGGGGGCTTCTGCATTACCAGCATCAGTGCTCAGTCCTGCATGTGTTAGGAACAATCTTAAGAGCCTCACCCCGTGCGTCCGGCAGGGGACAAGGCCTTGGCCCTAAGATGAGAATCTGGAGGGGATCCCTTTTCATGGGTCATTCTGGGATGGCTTCCTGGACGGGGGCCCCTGAGCTGTGCCTGCAAAGTAAGAAGGGGCTTGGGTCGTTGGTCCAGGTGGCGGGAGCACCCCAGAGAAGGACACTGAGGCAGGAAAACTCAGGCATGTTTGGACAAGGTGCCAGTGGGAGGCCAGGCCTGGTGGCTCACACCTGTCATCCCAGCCCTTTGGGAGGCCAAGGCAGGAGGATTGCTTGAGCCCAGGAGTTTGAGACCCGTCTGGGCAACATAGTGAGGCCCCCGTCTCTAAAATATATTACAAAATAATATAAGAGGATGCCAGTGAGGTGGAAGTGGGAAGATTGACAGTACTCACAGTGATAGCAATAATGGCACTGGAAGTAATAATCATGGAAGCCAGAGAGGCGGTGGCATTGTCGTCACCCCAACCAGGCAGGCTGCAGTGGACACAGGATGGAGGCCCAGGAGATCGGGACAGCCTGGAGAACTTCAAACCCGGGCCGGTGTGGGGTGGCCGGGAGGGGAATGCTGCTCTGCCCCTTGGTGGGGTTCCACCCTGGTATCATCAGGGCAGCTCTTGAGAGGTGAGGGAGGCCTTTTTTTTTTTTTTTTTTT